AGGCCACGCCTCTGCCCGCGCCGTCAGAGTCCCGGGGCCCACGCCAGCGTCTGTGTGCACACTGGCACGCAGGTGTCTTACTCAGAGCTGTCCCGAGTCATTTGCAAGTCCTCAAGGCAGTGCTGTCGCACGGCAGGCACCCCGGGCTGGGGTTTGGAGCACACGCGAGGCAGGAGTCCTGGGATCCTGTTGCCATGGGGCTCTCTGGTCCAGGAGTGATCCCGGCCTGGCCTGCTCCCCACTGCCGCTGCTGTGTAGTCACCTACACGCTTCGGGTCAGACTGGCTCGAGAACGGTTTTTGTCACAACCCCACCCGGCACCGTTGGCACAGTTTTCCTGTAAGGCTTCGGATCCGAGCAGGTCATGTAAGCGCAGCTCCTCCTCTTGCTGGGTGGCCTCACGGAATGTCGTAAGCCCCTTCCGAGTCCCCTGGGTGACGCGCCACCAGCTCCGGGAACCCAGGGCTCCTGCTCAGACACGGCCCACCCGGCCCTGTAAGTGTGAGTGGCGTTACGAAGCTATCTGGCCTCGCTTCAGGAGTGGCGCGGCCGTGCAGCAGCAGTGAACAGAGGTGCAGGCAGGGCTCCCCCAAAAAGGGGCTTCTCGTCCCCATCTCCTCACGGTCCCTGCCGCTGTCCCTGGCCTTGGCTGCTGCATTTGTTGCCTGTGGACCTCCCAGTCCCACACGGGGGCTGCTGGTAAGCCTGGCCTCTTACCTGTGACTTCTCAGTGCTCCCCACAGCAACCCGCCTGTGATGCAGGCCTGTTGTCCCCACTTCACAGGCCCAAAGAGAATGGCTTCCCGCTAGGTTATCCAGCTAGTGAGTGACTGAGACAGGTGTCAGACTAACCAACTTGCTTATTCCTTTATTCAACAGTTTTGTCCCCCTGTGGGGATTGGACCTGGGGAGTGCTAAGCTATATCCTCAGCTTTTAAATTTAAACTTTTTAAAATTTTTGAGATGGAGTCTTACTGAGTTACCTCCGTTCATCTCAAACTTGTGATCCTCCCAAGTAGCTGGGATTACAGGCGGGCTCCACTACACCTGGCTTAGTCGCACATCTTTGATGAACACCTACTCTGTGCTGGGTGCAGAGCCTTTGTGTATCCCAGTGCTTTCACCCTCATACCCTAACTGGCTGCCTCCGTTCCTCAGTCTTTACCTTCTTGGCTCTTGATTCCTTACCCGGAGAAAGGAGGGAACTCATCCCCCTGAGTAGGAAATTAATAATGATAGAGTACTGCCTAAAATACACCCTGTTGAGTCCCCAGAGAACGCGGCGGAACAGCACGTTGATTATACATTGTGTATATTTTTGGCAATGGCAGCCGTTGAAATGTGCAGCTCGGCTCCTGGACAGCTTTGCACTCAAACCAGTGAGCTGTTCTCCTGTGTCACAGCCTGTCATCTGATCCTTGACAGATTTTGGATCAGAATGTGACAGGTGTCTGGAACCTGCCTCCGCAACGTGACACCTGGCGCTCAGGCGTGCAGCGAGGCCCCAGAAGTCTTCTCTCACACGCAGCCCGCCGGCTGGGGAAGGGCACCCAGGGCTGCCCCCCGGCCATCGAGCCTGTCTGCGCGTTTGTCGGGAGTGAGGGGAACACGAGGCCAGCGGAGCCCCGCGCCATTGAGCCGCACACTAAGCCCCGCGTGTTCCCAAGGAAGCCGGTGGTGGCAGAGACCCCCGGAGCGCTGTCGGAGGCAGGCAGGCAGGCAGGAGCTCTACGTCGGGCAGAAAGATCGCTTTTCCACCCGGCTCACTGCCTTGCTAGCTCTGTGACCTAAAGCAAGGCACGTTCTTCTGAGCCTCAGTTTCCCCCTTTGTGAAATGGGGCTGATGGTAACGTCACCCATAGAAATCCTCGGGGCAGGTGAAGTTCGCCGAGCACTTTTCACCTTACGACAGACCTCGTATAAAAGATGCACCTCATTGCTTCCTCTGGTAATGAGGCAGACAGGGCTCTTGTGGCCCCATTTCCAGCTCCAACTCAGAGCAAAGGGCCACGGCCAAGGACATCAGACCGAGAAGGGGCAGAGCTGAGGCCCAAACCCAGCCATCTGCCTCCGAAGCACTGGTCTGTAACCTTCCTGGCAGGGCCTGGGTGAGTGCTCGTGCTTGGTGCTGTGTCTAGGCCAGTACCCAGCACGATGTGTGTGTGTGGTGAACGAAATGTAAACAGCGGACGCTGAACAGTGGTAGCTGTTGATTTGATTATTCCATCCACATGCATTTTGTTTGATTCTTGGAGAGCAGGAATTTTATTAAGCATAATTAAAGAAACCTAAACAAATATTTAGCTCTTTCCCCTACTCATGACCTTGCTAGAAATACAACCCAGTTCCTACTCTGAACATCCGTCCCTGAGGCAGCTGCAGGGTGCTGTATTATTTGACACTTTTTCTTTTTTTTTGCAAGTGGCAGAAATCTATTTCAACCAGGCTTCTGCAGAAATGGAGTGTACTGGCTTCCAACTGAGGAGGGGGGAATAGCTTCAGGCATAGTTTGATCCAGTGGTAGATGTGGTTGTGAATCCATCTTTCATGTCATCTGTGACCGTGTGGCAGGGCAGGTAACGTGGGCAGCCCACGTCTGAAGTCTCAGCAGCTGCCAAGGACAAAGGCAGAGAAAACTCCAGGAGTGCCACAGTTGGCCCAGCTTGGGCCTCATGCCCAAGCCTGATGAGTCACAAGAGCCAGAGGCTTCTGGGTCAGAGACATGATGGCAGGCAGATGACCTCTGCCGTCCAAGCCCTGTGGCAGGTCCTGCAGGAGGGAGGGACGTGTGCTGGGCGACAGAGCATTTGCTGTTCCACACCCATACCCGTCCAGGCTGGGCAGGTGTGGGTGGGGAAGTCAGTGGCCCGGGCAGGCCAGAAGGGGACACGTGGCCCCTTCTCCCCCAGGAGCTCATTGACATGAACCAGTGCCACCTGAATGCCCTCGGCGTGGGCCACACCTCTCTGGACCAGCTCTGCCGGGTGGCCGCGGCCCATGGACTGCACAGCAAGCTCACTGGTGCGGGTGGCGGTGGCTGTGGAATCACGCTCCTGAGGCCAGGTACTGGGACAGACCAGGTCACCAGTGGACTCCTAGGAAGGGTCCAAGGAGGGTTCCCTGGGGAGGGGGCAGAGGCCTGAGAGCCAGTCTTGGCTCTGCAGTGCGGCCTTGGGCGAGTTAATTGACCTCTCTGGGCCTTTGTTTCCCCTCTGGTGGCACGAGGATGATAGTGTCTACTTGTAAGGCCACGCCCGGACTCACTGTGTTCATCAGTCTGCCCCACAACCCGCGTGCTCACTCGGGAAGCAGCCAGGACGCGTTGATCTTGCCCCACAGTGAAGGGTTTCTTTCTTGGTGGCCTTTGGGGAGAGAGGACAAAGCATAGGAACGCTGTTGGTGTTCACCACCCAGCACCACATCTGCCCCTCGAGATGGGTGCCTGGGAGGTGTCTGGTGCCTGCCTCCCCGCCTGGTCCCTCTCTCTCTCCTCGCTGTTTCCATCTTCCTTGCGCTTGACACTGAGCCCTGTGGACTTCAAGATGTCCTCCTACCCTCAGCAGAGACTCCCCGGCCTCAGGAGGCGGCCACGTCCCCAGGCCCTGGCATTGGTTCCTGCACAGGGCCAATGATGCCAGCGAGAGCCGGCACCGTGCTGCCCATCTCAGCCTCCTGGCAACCACGGGCTCGGAACCATTGTCCTTGTTCCCTCAGAAGGAGACTGCCTGGAGAGAGCGGTCGCTTGTCAGAGCTGTGTGGCCAGTGTGTGCAAGGCCCATGTGTGTGTTTAACTGGCACCCAACCCCCCAGCGGGCACAGGGCCCTGCCTGGCCAGTGCGCGGGGCTGCCGGCAGCCTCAGCCACAAGCCTGTTGACACAGGTGTGGCCACAGCCAGGACAGCCCCCACCCTGGCTTTTGCATCAGTGGCGGGAGCATCCCCTGAGCTGGGCGCTCACTGCTGTCACGATGACCTACCTCCCCCAGATCTGGAGCGGGCTGAAGTGGAGGCTGCAAAGCAGGCGCTGACTGGCTGCGGGTTCAACTGCTGGGAGACCAGCATCGGGGCCCCTGGCATTTCCATCCACTTGGCCACCTCCCTGCACGGTCCTGTCTGCCAGGCCCTGGGTGGCCTCTGAGATGAGTGCACGGTGCTGCAGCCCCACAGAGAAGCTGCTCTCCAGACTCTTACATGCCGTTTGCCTGTGTGGACCAGCACCACCCGACCCTGACGCTGACGCTTCAGGACCCTGCAGCCCTCCGTACTGCCCTTCCTCCTGGCTATGTCCCTTTGAGTCCCAGTGGCAGGGCCCCAGAGCCCGTGCTGGCTTGGGCTGCCCAGAGCTGGCCAGGCAGTGCGCCTATGGGGTCCCTGAGACTGCAGATCTGAGGCGGGAGGGACTTCAGCAGCCCTAGAGCTGTCGGGGGTCCATCCGTCTGCACCCCGCCTGTGCCCCCGTCTCCCCAGTCTGGCTGCAGGGATGTGGATCGGCGCCCCCAGCACAATGTGCCTTCTCTCTCTCCGGCTCTCCCCTTCCACCAGCGTCAGGGCCCAGGCCCCTCCTGCCTCCTCCAGGAAACCTTCCTGGTCCAGTGGGCTGGCCCTTGTCCCTTGTCCCTTGTCACAGCACTGGTGTGTGGGCATCATCCAGCGTGCTCTCCCCGCTCCCTGCCCGGGGGGTCTAGGACAGTGGCTTTTGCTTTCTGTCTTCAGGCCAAGGAGGGCAGAGTGAAGTGAAGGCGGTGTCTCCCATCTGTGCTAGAGCAGTCGCAGAAAAGTCTGCAAACGGGAATAAAAAGAATTTGCAAACACAAAGCTCCATGTATGTCCGGAGAGCTGAGGGTTGGGGAGTCAGGCCCCGCACCACTCTCGGCACCTTCTCCAGGTGGAATTCTTGAGGAGGGAAGTGAACCGAGGGCTGTGGGTCACTTTTGTGTGTGTCTTGGGGATGGGGTGGGTTTGCCCAGTGGCCCCTGCTGACAGGCACAGACACCTCTGCCAGGCTGTGGCTTCTGGTCCCCAGTGCAGCCCCAGGCCGCTCCCAGCTCCTACATCACAAGCACCCCCCAAGGCACAGGGCTTTGTGAGCCGTGGGAGCCATGGACATCCCTGAAATTAACCTGTGTTCATGGCCCCAGGGCCATTTGCCCACCTGGTCCTGTCTGAACTTTCTGTTGCCAATTAATGTGGCTTCTGAAAGCAGAATCCATGGAAAACGCTTGTAGCTAGTGTGTTGCTCACGGTGTAGGAACGCAGAATTTGGGCTTCGGCCGCTTCGTGCGTGTTTGCCCTTGACCACTAGAGGGCAGCTCGTGTCTTCCCAGTGTCCTCACCAGGAGGGTGACTGGAAGCTGACTGGATGGAGTTGGCCGGAGAGCAGAGGCTGAGCTCCAGCCCGGGGCCCTGCCTGTGGTCACTGCTGGGATCGTGAGAGTAATAGGAAGGGCACTTGGTCCAGTGTCACTAATGGGTCCCGTGCCTCCACCCTTCACAAAGCCCATTTCCAACAGTAACGCAGCACTTACGCAGACCAGGCCCTGTTTGTTCTAAGCAGTGCACGTCCATCCTCTCCTTTCATCTCTACTCAACTCAAGAGTGTAATTGCTAGTCTCGTCCCTCATGTACAGATCTGGAAATGAAAGCTCAGCGAGACTGAGAAACTTGCCTAAGGCCACACAGCTAAAGCACATTGGAGGTGGAAAGAAGCTCAGACCGTGTTACAGTCTGGGTCAAGATGTCCCCCCAGTGCCTTTTGGTCATAGGTGGCTTTTGCAAAGGTGGCTGAATCTAGAGTGTGTGATGCTGGGATTGAGGGTGGTGACTACTAAATCAGTGCACTGATGGGTTTGACACCACCCCAATCCCAGCAGCCTGGATACAGTGTAAGGGACAGAAAGAGGCGTCTTGTCGCTTGCTTGCTTGCTTTGCTATCTTCTGCCCACCATGAACTGTTTCTCCTCTTTGATGCCTGTCTGCCACTCCACCCTGCCTTGGAGCCAGCCAATGATGGACTGAAACCTCTGCAAAGTGTGAGCCGAATAAACCTTTCCCCCTTTAACTTTGGGTATCAGGTGTTTTGTCCCAGGGATGAGAAAAGTAACTAAGACGGCTCAGCTCTGGAGCCCGCCCTCATCCTGCTGGGGCCTGGCCCAGCTCCGCGGTGTTGTGGTTGTTGCTGTCTGCTGTGCTGAGCCCCCTCCTTCCCTGTATTCAGGGCTGCTTAGCCAGGGTTGGTCTGCAGCCTGGATCGTGTTTTTCCCTGCAGTTTGCAGGAGTGGCCCATACCACTCACCATACTGGTGACACCACTGGCTGAGGGCTGCTGTCTGGCCTTCAGGAGGTGAGGTGGGCTTGGGAGCCTCCTGGGCTTTAGTCAGCTTGTGCTGTAGACCTGGGGAATGTGAAGGCGTCCTGAGGCTCGGACCCCCAGGACCCACCCGCCGTGCGAGGCCCACTCCCTCCCCTGCTGCGGAGCATCAGTCCTTGAACCGCAGTGACCCTTTTCACCTGCCCTGTGGGCCTCAGCAGAGCAGCCTCCTACTCAGCCGCCACCGTCACAGACACCACATGGGCCTGCGCCGCCCACTGCCATCTTGGAGTGACGTTTGCATGTACAGCAGTTACCCCTGGTTGGAAAGACCCTCACCAGTCGCTTCTTCAAGCCCCCCGGGTGATCCTGATGTGCAGCCCTGGCAGAGGACACTGAGCCAGAGGACCCCAAGCTTGGCCTCGGAGACCAGCATGGTGGTTGAGCATTTAGCTCTGCCCGGGCTCCATTTCAGCTCTGTGGCCTGGGAGCCGCATGACCTTGGGCAGCCAGTTCACCTTGGAGCTGCACTCTCATCTAGAGAATGCGAAGAATAACCACAGCCGTGTTGCAGAGACATCGGGGATAGCATGAGAAGGTGCACAGAAAGCCGTCGGTGCTGTGCCCAACACGTAGTGAGTGCTCAGTAAATGTTCACTGTTGGAATTGCTTTGTGTTGGAAAATAAGGACGCCTGGCCAGTCAGCTCTGTGTGAAAGCCCAGATACCCCGGAATGGCACATAGAACTGGCTGATGGTGCCGGCCTCGTTGGTACAGAGCCCCAGGGTTCTCTGTTGGAGAAACACAGTGAGTGAAACGTAGCTAGTGCCGCCTGGCTTTGCCACCTCCCACCTTCCTATGTGAAGAACCAGCACTCGGCCCCATCTGCCTCATCGCCAGGCAGATGCCAGCGCTCTCTCCCAAGGCAGCGTGGCTCTGGCCTGTGGGTCTTACAGCCTTGAGTTCGCAGTGAACCTTCCAGCTCTCTGGCACCGTTCTCACAGTGGGACGTGGGCTGTAAAAGTGATTGCACCACAGGCTGTGGTGAAGACTTCTTGGTGAAGACTTTTTTTTTCCCGAGACAGGGTCTCACTATAAAGTGCAGGCTGGCCTTGAACTCACTCTATAGCCCAGGCTGGCCTCGAACTCCCAGCGATCCACCTGCCTCAGCATCCTGAGTGCTGGGATTATAGGTGCATGCCACCATGTCCAGTTGGGTGAGGACTTTTATGCCTCCCCGAGAACATGGCCATGGAGCATGGCCACCCAGTACATTTGGTGGGAGTTCTAGGTCAAAGGATGTGGTCAGCATCATGTGCTTGGGCTCCTGGGTTCCTTGGCCCCTTGGGGGCTCTGTTTCTGTTGTTCGTTTATGAGGTCCCATCAATGCACGTCTAGCACCCAGAGGGTGCGCCCATCCCAGCCCTTCCTGGCTCATGGCTAATTTTGGATGAGGTCTGGGACCGTCTCTCGGCACCTGCTATGTTCCAGCAAGGGTCACAGAATTGCATTTGAGGCCAGGTCTTCCAGCTCTGGACTTTTGCTGTAGTTTTAAAATGAGAAATTCCTTTACTCTTACAAAAGCGGCACATA